TCGTTTTTCGCTTTTTTGCCATGGCATTGTCAGTTCGTTTACGACTTTGACCATCCCTTTTGTATCATCCGCCTCTCTTTTTGGTAAATGACGGTTTAAACTAATGACAACATGATTCTTAAAGGAGGTCATAAGAAGATAATTTACACTAAAGTTTGAAACCATTTGTCCGTACACTTTTTTTTATATATATATTCGTTTCTTTTTATATTTTTTTTTACGTGGCAGTAATGATTGGACGTCACCCACATTTCGCTATAATGTTCATAAATCAGTTCGTTTATACCACAGGATTTGAACTTATTGACCATTTACATAATTTTTGCACTTTTTGTCAAATGTCCTATTTCTAGAAACAGTTGTAGTGATGTTTCATGGTAGATATTGAATTCGTCAAGTATAAACGTTCGAGTGGATAACATGGTATCATTTATTCGAAACCTGCACGTATGTCTTTCTTAATTGAGTATATTTTGTTCATTTTTTTTATTTTCATAATATCTTTTGACTACCTTTTTTAAATTGGCGGTAGTGGTCACCAACTAAATAATATTTGTCTTGGGGAATCAAAAGAATATTTTTAATGTTAGTAGCTCATGAACCTTTACTTGTTTTTTTCTGAAGTTAATTATTTTTTTTCTAGATCCATCTCCGGCGTAAACAACTTGGTAACAGCTTTAGAGTCATGAAACACATTTTTTTTTAAATGTGCTATCCTTTTAATCAATATATTTATTTTAAAAAATATCCTAAACCTGATTTTTGTATAAATTTTTTAAGTATAGTGACAATGGTAAGTAAGTTTGACGACCGTGTGAGATAATCAACAATAAGTCTTATTGAATGACATCATTAATACATCAATACATCATTAAACTCAAATTAAGATGTTATTGTCGCGTAAAAAGACAAACATAATGAGATGCAGTAAAAATAAGTATAAGTCCAATAATAAACTGTTAACAGAGAGATATGTCTCGCCTTTTTATTATTTTGAAATAGTAAAATGCAAATGTTGAAATTAAAACAGCAATACTTTAACATGCAAGTTATGCAAAATATTCAGTCAATGAACCATGAGTGAAGCTACATGGCCTAACAAACTCCATGGAAATGAAATGTGCCAATGCTTATACAACTGCATACCATATATCATTGACCTACCACTATAGGTTCCCCATAAACTGACCTAATCACTAAACTAAACAAAAGTGTCAAAGTAAATAGACCATGACTGCGAGAGCGGGGCCAAATAATCTCCATGAAAATGAGATATGCCATTGCTAATACAGCTGCATACCAAATATCATTGACCTACAATTAGTGATCCCCCAGAAACTAACCTAATAACAAATACATTGCTGACGACGCCGGAAACAGCATACCCATGTCTCGCTCTTTGAATGCGTCAAAGCGAGACAAAAAAAGATAACACCATGTTCAAAAAGAAAATAAATGAGGAATGTGTCCATGGGACACAGATGATGCTCTCGCTTGCATATAACGTTATAAAAGGACACATCTCAAGAACAGTAAAAGTGACGCTACCCAAATTCGTATCTGATCCGAGTTTTGATTTAATTAGCATTGTGTATAAGTTTCATAACATTTGGTTGAGGCAAACTTAAGTTAGAGAACGGAAACGAAAAATTCAGCATTTTTTCCATTTGCAAAGGGGCATAACTCTAGAACGGTAAAAGTGACGCCACCAAAATTCAAACCTAATCTGTTTGTTGTTGAAATAAGCATTGTATGTAATGTAGCAATACACAGTTAGGAAAAAAACTTGAAATTGACACTCATAATCTTTAACCACCCACTTTCCTTTGCTCTCTAACAAATAAGGCTTTATTTTTGTGTTATGCATGTGCATACATGTGGAAACAGCATCTTCCAAAGATTTGATTTCCAATAGTTATAATGGTGAAATATAATCTCTTTTTGGTGTAACCATGGCAACAATCTGCATTTATTTGATACAAAATATTGCAAAAGGGGGGGGGGGGGGGGTTGAAAATGTCACAAAAGTCCCCAAAATTTGTTCCAAAGGAGAATTTCAATCCATTGGAGTGATACATTTCTTGAAACCATAAACATTTATCTATCAAGAGGTAAAAAAAAAATCATATGCATTTTAGCTCATTTTTCCATAAAATTGAATTGAAATTCGAGGGTCAAATCTTTGTTGAAAAACACTACAATAATTTCATGACCTATGGGCGGTACGGATGTGAAAATACGGACTGTCAAACAGAAAAATGGACTATAAAACATGTTAAAAACAATCTTGATGTTCATATAAGCGGAAACGAAATATTCAGCAATTTTTCCATTTGTAAAGGGGCATACCTCCAGAAAGGTAAAAGTGTCGCCACCCAAATTCAATCTTAAAAAAAGTCAAGAGAACGGAAACCAATTTCGGGACGTACGGACGGACAAGGGTAAAACTTAATGCCCCCTCCGTTACTGCGTGGGCATAAAAAAAAACATGCGGAGGATACCTGAGGACACTCAAAAAGCACGAGTCGAAGAAAAACTGACAACGCTATGGCAATAAACGAAAAACGACGAAAGACGAATAAATCCATAAAACACTACATAGAAAATAAAGATTGAGCAACACGAGCCCACCACAAAACGGGGCTGAACTCAGGTGCAGAAACAGTAAGCAATTCCTGCGGAACATGTGGCATCCGTCGTGTTGCTCATGCAGACGTATCCGGTGATGTCTCATTCGATAATGGTACAATCGAGGAAAAGAGAGCGATATTGTGGTAATGCCAAATAGAACACATCCGTGGTCATTTGTGACAAAGATATTCATTAATAGTCAATTTGATAGTATTCGTAAAACTTTTGAAGGGACGAATTTTAACTTCACCACTTGGAACTCTTTGTTCAATAGCTTCCTTGTAAGCACAAACACTCTATAAAGGAAATCTTGATAGTGAATGCAAGCTCTGGAATACCGTATCAACAGGCGTTGATGGAATGTTGCTACACAGAAATGGAAAGTTCCTAATTGGGAAGCTGTAATTATCCCTTTTGTCGTAATATTTGTTCTCAACCGACCCTCATTGTCACTTTCTAGATGCAAGTCGAGATATGAGGCAGACTTAACTGTATCTGTGCTATCCTTTATTTCAAGTTCGATGGGATAGATGCGTTCAACATAGTCATCAAATTTTGGATTGTTTGGCGATTGGACATCATCTATATAGAGGAACGTGAAGTTAATGGATAATGCTAGCTTCTTTTCATTCTTTCTAAGGAGCTCCTGTCTGAGTTCTGTCTCATACGAAAGTCAGCAAGAAGAGGGACACAATTAGTTCCCATGAAATGAAGATTGTTTGTTGAAAAGAAAAACACGGCTTCCAAACGTAACAAATATGTTATCAATAAAAAATTCAAGCATCTTAATGATGGCAGTCCAAGAGAATTTTTTGTCTGAATCAAGAGTGTGATTGATCCTTTCCTAAAACAAGATATATGTTTGTACGTTGGTCATTCTTTTTTGGTGAAACTTGAAACAATGTGGAACGAGTTCTTTCAATCTGTCTTAAAGTTTAGAATGCGGTATACTAGTCTTAAGGGTCAAAAGTTTTATACAATTGTAAGAGGATAGAGACAGGTTGAATATACTTAAGGCCAATTAAAATTAATTGATAGATTTTCATCCCCGCCCGCCCCTCTGAAATCGTTCCGCCCCAATTTTTTTTATTTTGAAAAATTTACGATTTCCGGATTTTGTTCATTTTCGTTACCGGTAACTGTCGATAATTTCGTTTCATTAATAACATCCTGTTTCAAATTTTGGTTTTTGCATTTCTTTGTATGTTTGATTCGTTATACATGTATATACATGATAGAACCTTATTATTACACTTGCATATATGAAGAACACGTCACAAGAGCGTTTCATATCTAATAAAAAATAAAAAATAAAATCCTCCTACCCACCCCATTTTTTTCAAAAATTTGGATGAAAATCTACTAATTAAATTTACTTGGCCTAAACAGATCTTTCGAATTTTTCAGTATCCATATATGATTCACACCATCCATAGAGTAAGTCGTTTCACAGTTACTCGTAAACCAAGCTTTGATTGCTGATAAAATAGATGTTCAATAGTTTCGAAAGAGGCCCAGTAATATAACGTAGATTGTAAGGATACCCATGTAACTTGCTATCCAGTACAGAGAAGGATGATCATGCTCTTCATCTTTGGCTGGAATCCCAAAGGAAAAAAGAACAGACTAATACATGATTGTTCTGGACTTTCTTATGTTAGTGTCGTGGGTGTATATGTTGCGTTTTTCTAGTGAATTGTAAATACCTAATTCCGTTATCAGGCAATTCGATGTTATTCGGTGATTTATCTGCGGGGATAACGACTAAAAGAAAAATAACAATAACAAGTATTACACAGAAAACCAAAAATTAACCACCACCAATCCCATCAAAAACCGTGGTTCACTCAGGTGCTATGAAAGTGTCAGCAGTTCCTGCTTCATTTATGACACCTGTTTGTGTTTATAATATTCCTGTTAAAATGTATAATGATTGATGAATCGTATCTAACTCCAAGACATAACCAAATTCATAATTCCATATGAAATGCAATTTCTCAAACCCTAAATATTAACCGATTGTGAAAGATTGAAATGGAACATGCAATAGAAATAACCCTCTATCAAGGAAATCATTAGGAAACTCAAGCCCTGGAATATCTTACAAATTTGTGAGATATATACTCTACATATGCAGGCGTGCTGGAATGCTTTGGAACGCTACCAAAATTTTTGAAGACTTTAATGTATACAATGTATTGGTATATGGTTCTTTATTCAGAACTTTTTCCAAAAAAATTTGTTATTTGCTAATATATGCCCATTTCTAATCCCTTACAATTTCATAATTATAATTTTGCCATCTGTAGATACATGTTTGTCTCTGAAAAAAACTTATAATTGGCAAAATACAGAACATAATACAGGAAAACAAATTAAACTGTATAATAGTATTGGCTAAATGTCAATTAATATACTTCTACCCATTTATAAATAAAGAGGATACTACTTTAAAGAGATAAACAATCTCCGTGATGGTATGCTGTTACTGATGAATTAACTCAACAGTGAAGATTTGGAATGTTACATCAACATTCTAAACAAATGTCATTTGTCAAAAACGTGGGTTTTGTTCCCATCTAATCGTTTTCGAATGTCTTATGGATGCAGAATACTTTGCTACGAGAATTACGCCGGATGCCGCTAGAAGAAACTACTTACCCTACCAGAGTACCTGAGTTCAACCCCAGTTTTTGGATGGGTTCGTGTTACTCAATCTGTATATTTGTAAATATTGCTTTGATGACTGTGGCTTTTTCTTTTATTTTTGCAATTCATGATGAAAACTTTCATAGAATTCACGTATATGTTTCATTTGTCGCAGTTGCGATCCCAAACTCCTTTCCTTGTCAACAAATATAATTGCATGCGAAAGTCACTAGATTTTTATTTCACATGAGCAACACGACAAATAAATGGCAAACCTCATGAGTTTTTTTAGTTTCAGAATGGTGGACGTAAAAAGCCGCATTTTTTAAAATTTTCTTTCGAATGATGCACAGGTTAGTTGAAAATGCTCTACCATATATGAATACTCTAAATAGAGTTCATATTTCAAAAAAACTTGAAAAGATGGTAAACAATTGGTACGATTTGTGATTGTTGCTGCGATATGGGAATGCTTTAGTTCTGGACATCTTTGACTGGACCATACAAAGATTGAAAAGAGGTGAGACGTTCATCGTTTTTAAAAGGTTTGTCACGGTTTAGCCTAGAGTAATGCAAGAGTATGAATGGAATGCGCAATTTACAATGACTGAAGGTGCACTTTTGGATTGATCATTTGTTTGCTATTGAAAGAAATGAAGTTTGTCCACTTTTTTCTTTAAACACAACTATTAAATCATAAGTGTGCAAGAACAACATTACATTTTACATCATATTATATTTTCCCATTTTGGCAGAAGCAGTTTTTTTCAGTGGCAGTTGCATCTTTCGTTACTCATTTTCAGGTGGTGGTTTGACAATTATCTTATTATCTTTCACTTCCGCTTTTATTCCATATTTCTTTAACATATCTGCTTCTTCTGCTAAACCCTCAAACTTTAGACTAGCTAAAATTCCTTTATTTTCATTGTTGTCTTTGCAAATGTTATGAATTGCTAGCACTGACCACTGCTGGATATCTTTGAATATTAAGGAAAAAGTTAACCAAGAAAATTTATATGTACATGATATTTTATAAATTGGAAATGTGTCCATAGGACACAGCTGATGCCCCTGCTTGCATATAACGTTATAAAGGGACATAACTCAAGAACGGTAAAAAAGACCTACCCACATTCCTATTTCATCTGAGTTGTGTGGTAATAAGCATTGTGTATAAGTTTCATAACATTTGGTTGAGGCAAACTTTTTAGAGAACGGAAACGAAAAATTCAGCAACTTTTCCATTTGTAAAGGGGCATAACTCTAGAACGGTAAAAGTGACGCCACCAAAATTCAAACTTGATCTGTGTTTTGTGGTAATAAGCATTGTGTATAAGATTCATAACGTTTGGTTGAGGCAAACTAAAGTTAGAGACCGGAAACCAATTTCGGAACGTACGGACAGACGTACAGACGGACCAACGTACAGACGGACAAGGGTAAAACTTAATGCCCCCTCAGCTACAGCGGGGGCAAAAAACAGCGAGATATTAATTCTACATGCTTGGTGAACGAATTTCAAAAATGGCCAAGTGATCCTATGTAAAAATGAGGAGATGTGGTATGATTGCCGATGAGACATCTATCTACCCGAGTTAAAATGAAGTGGTAATAAGCATGTTTAATTTTGTTATTTTCCTTTGATTTCAGTATGACGAAAATAATTCAACATAGCCTAAAAGTAACAAACAACAGAGAAAAGGGTCACGACCTAATGTCCAATATTTCTTTTCCGTTTTCTTAAACATTCTAAAACGCCTTTTAAATATATTACACCATTGATACTATTTGATTTTGCTCATAATAAAGAAAGGCAATTATTTTTAATAAAAGTGTTTTGAATATGAAGCATTTTCAATAAAAGGTTCAATGTAATTCGAAATGGAATAATTTAAATGTCTCATTCAGTAGGCTATAATAGTTTACCAAAGTCACAATTGATAACACAATAATATCTGCAAATTAAATTTAACATGTACATGTAAATTACGATTTTGTATCCTTTTTATTGTGTGAGAACCTTTTCATTATAGTGAAGGCAATTACAACGGATATGGGAAAAAGTAGAAGTATGAATTAAAGATGTCACATTGTGGGGTGAACGTCAAATAAAAACCAACCATCGAAAAACCATATAAACCGTCACAACCAATCAGTATATTTCTAGAACATACAGTTTAATGATGACAGATAACAACAGCATGCACCAAACGTTGAATCGGTCACACACTAGACAAGTTATTAATCAACCAAGTAGACAACCAAGATGATGTGCCAAAACTCCTTATACACATATACATTATACAACAGAAACAACCGTTGATTTGAGCAGACATATAAACATTAATGGGGACAGTGGACTTTAGTATATTACATTGCAGAGGATTATATAAAAGAGAGGAGAAAGATACCAAAGTGACATTCAAACTCAAAAAGTCGAAAATAAACTGACAACGCCATAGCTAAAATAGAAAATAAACTGTTATCACAGAGATATGTCTCGCCTTTTTGTAATTTTGATAATGCAAATGTTGAAATTAAAATAGCAATACTTTAACATGTAAGTTATGCAAATATTCAAAGTCAATGAAACATGACTGAAGGTACATGGCTAAACGATCTCCATGGAATGTGATGTGCCAATGCTAATACAACTGCATACCAAATACCATTAACTTATTATAAGTCGTTCCCTTTAAACAAACCTAAACACAAACATTAACTTGTAAACTATGTAAAAGTTTCAAAGTCAATGAACCATAATCAGGGGTGGGGCTATATAATCTCCATGGAAACGATACTTGCAAATGCCAATACATTTGCATACCAAATATCATTGACTTAACATTAGCAGTTCATCTTAAACTGATCTAATCATAAACTAATACATGTAAACTAAGCAAACGTTTCAAAGTCAATAGACCATGACTGAGGGGGCGGGACCAAATATTCTCCATGGAAATGAGATGTGCTAATGCTTATACAACTGAACACCAATTAACATTGGCCTACCACTAATGGTTCCCCTTGAACTGACCTAATCACAAACTAATACATGTTAACTTAGCAAAATTTTCAAAGTCTATAGACCATGACTAAGGGGGCGGAGCCAAATAATCTCCATGGAAATGCCAATGCTTATACAACTGCATACCAAATATCATTGACCTACCACTAGTAGTTCCCCATAAATTGAGCTAATCACAAACTAATACATGTAAACTATGAAAAGTTTCAGTCAATAGACCTTGACTGAGGGGGCGGGGCCAAATAATCTCCATGGTAATGAGATGTGCCAATGCTAATACAACTGCATACCAAATATCATTGACCTACCACTAGTGGTTCACCATGAACTAGACCTAATCACAAACTAATACATTGTTGACGCCGCCGACGCCGGAATCATCATACCCATGTCTCGCTTTTTGACTCCGTCAAGGCGAAACAAAAACCATAAAAGAAGCACCATAAAAAGTGGACATTCAGTCACTAATGTTGCGATTTCATTAATGCAAAAATAACGCGTCTGACTTTAATAACACATTAAGGATTCACTTGCAGAGTCAACTGCAAATTATAGACTTCATTCTCGTGTAAACAGGCCTTTTAATAATTTTAATCAAAAAAAAAACTTCAGTCCGAAGTATGACCAACTTCAACTAAAGTACACAATAGCTTTCACACTGGAAATATAAGTTGGTTGACATAATTTAAGTCCCAAGCGAAGAGAAAGAGATTCAATATATATATTGACAAGGGTTATTAATTACTTAAAAAGAGATAAATCACGGGTTTTCGGACGGATTCGTTGTTTTTTGTTTTTGTTTTTTGTTACTGTTTAAAAAGTTTTTTTGATTTTTTTTGTTTTACTTTTCGTTTTGTTTGTTGTTGCCATGATACTCTGTTTTTATTGCACTATGATCTTGGTTGTCCCGCTTTTTTTACGGGCTACGGGCCTCCATACTACGTAATATACTTAAACGGTCAGAAAATCTGAACTTCTTGCACTTATTGTATTGAAATGTACTAACCTCCTCTTTGTTCCGACTATACAAACCATCCAGGGGTTCTTTTCACCCAAAAATATTAACGAGTTAAATTGATCGTAAGTTATACTGAAATGTTGACTTACGATTATTTTTTTCTCATAAGATTTCGTGAAAAGATGTGCTGGATTGTATTAAGTATTTACTCTTCCTGACCAAGACTGAATAACAAGCCTTGATTTACACAAGAAAATGTTCATTAATGTACTGAAGCCGATGACTAGCGTGATTAGAAGGAATCTTTATCTGCTTTCTTATTTTTTTTATACAGAAGATGACAAAAAAATCATATTTCACAGCTTTGTCTTGAAAATTTTTTAGTCAAGTTTGTTATATTATACCCTTATTGTAAATGTGGTCTTGTTCACACTGCTGACTGTAACTGTGTAGATTATACCATATGTATGCCGAAATGTTTTCCAATGAAATTTAACATGGATTATTCAAAGTCCGGTTATAATTTACAAATATATCAGTTTGCAATATTTGTCATTGAGCATGTTTTTTGTCGTTTGAAATACTAAGAATGCGTAATTTGTCATCGTTTTAATTTTATGAAATATAATGACCACTTTTTGGAAAGACAATTTGTAGCCATTGAGGTTGTTATTGCTGATAATAATATGTCTGAAGAAGCAATTTGTATCTAAAGTACTTGAATATGTACGTCTTGAAACTATAAATGTTTAAAAGGATACATGGATTTCTCCCATCAATGCTTGTTTGGTCTAAAACTAATGGTATACCATTCATTTCACGAATCTGGAACGAAAAGTATGCACATGCAATATAATAATTTATCGAACAAATACCGCCCCTAAGTCTTTGATCTATCTTAGAGAATACAGACCTACATCAAAACTTTGTTTACACAATTATTAACAGTCAACTGTTAAAATATCAAGAAAAGATACTTGACAATTCTTAAATTTAATGACAGGTCTTATTGTAAATTACAATTATAAAGTAGGGTATAAGTCCGTGATATTTGTATTTTGTCTAAAAATGTAATCACGGAAGGAGCCGCATAAACTAATTATTTTAAACTTAACTTTGTTATCTGTTCAAATAACAAAAGAACTCGTTGTTGAAATGTTCCAAAACATATCGCAATATTCAATCAAGAAATATTTATCCCTGACATGCAAGTAAAAGATTTCTCCCCCTTTCTATAATGAGATGACTTCGAACTGATAATTAAATGAATGTTGTTTTATTATATGCCCAATCTGCTTTTATGGGCGTGTATTGATGGGAGTTGTATTTATTCTCAAGAGTACAGAGCAACTTCACACGGTATTGGATTGAAGAGGAGCATTTTAATACAAGACACACCAAATTAGTGACTACAGATGTATTTCTTTAATTTCGTGTGTAACCAGTTTTCGTTGATTGGGGGAAACATTATAATTCTCGGATACTTGATTTTGTTCTTTTGAAAATGGAATTAACAATTTATAAATTTCGTGCGCCCGAAACGCCTTCATGATTAACTTCTTCAGGAACGGTCACATATAAACAATTGAAAGCCAGGAACAATCATGCATACGCGGCTATTTGTTTTAACCCGTTAGAAAACGTACCACCTTGAAAAATCTTAAAATTTCACTGACAAAATTGAGAATTGATAAAATATTTTACTAAAAAAAATGTTGTCAAAACTCTAAATTTCTTTTTCCTTTACACACCGATTCCTCTTTAACAGTCCTATATTTGCAAAAGACCACACAACACGTGATGATTGGCAAAAACGTCGTAAAAAATTGAAATGCAACCATTAGCGTAACGTTTTTCCATTTATGTTTAAAAGCAATGAAATAACCCATATTCCTTTAAATTGTGAAAGGCTAACTTGACATTTGCACTCTGAAGTCAATATGAAATCACTTCTAACTGATCTAGCACAACAAAAACTAGATAGAATAAACCAGAGGGACAACAACAAAAATCATACGTCCATTAAAACAGATAACACCATTGACACAGAGTAAAAGGTTGAAAGGCAAACAACAGTAACAAATCAGTACACATAAAACTAAAGACTGAGCAACACGATCCCACCTAATAACGGGGTGAACTCATGTGCTCCGAAAGGGTAAGCAAACGTCCTGATATTCTTGATTAAAATAATTAATGAGTCATATCCCTGGCTTATACATCTTACAATAAAAGGATTGATAGTTATCTCTTGTTTATAACCGTAAGAATCATCAAATACAAAAACCGTCGTTAAATGTAAGTTTTTCTTCCCCTTACAAGGCTTTCCTGGACGAATAATTTACTGGTAGAGACAACATAGACATTGAAAAATAAAATAGCACAAAATACACAAAAAAAACTGAAAACAAAACGAAACCCTTTGAAAAACTACGGTTGAACTCATGTGTAGGCAGTTCAGAAACAATTCCGCTAATAAGTCGCCTTCGGTAATGTCACAATCGGAGAATAGAGAACATGCCGTGGTCATCTGTGACACAAATGTCCCATAATATACAACTAAATCATGATAGCATCCGTAAATCAAGGGATATTTTCAACCATTTGACCCTTAATGCAATAGCTTCCTTGTAATCATCTACCCTCTACCAAGGAAATTGCGACGAGAAACGCAAGCTCTGCTAGAATATTGCTACACAAAAATGGAAAGTTCACAAAGTCAAAATTGAAGTCATCTCTTTTGTCGTAAAGATTAGTTCTCAACCGACCCTCATTGTTAATTTCTAGCTAAAAGTCAAGCTGTTATGCAGACTTAACTATTTAAATACATCTGTGGTATCCCTTATTTGGCCAATTGGGTAGATGCAGTAAAAAGTCACGATACTTTGAATAATTAAGTGAAAGGACGTAATCATGAAATAGCGGAAAGTGAAAATAAAGACTAATGCCATCTCCTTTTTATTTCTTTAGTAAGCATCAGTAGAATAAAGGAACAAGTCTGCTAACAGTGGAACACAGTTGTTCCCTATAGAAATGCCAATTGTCTGTTGAAAAAAACACGCCCTCCGAACGTAACAAATGTTTTCAATGTTACATTTTGATGATGTCAGATTCAGTGATTATTTTTTGATCCAGTCATAGTAGCTTTTACAAAGTATGATTTATCCCTTACTTATCACTCATCAAAGATACCAGGCTTATAGTTTGGTAGCCAGACGGTCGTTTCGTCTACATAAGACTCGTCAGTGGTCCTCTAATAAAAATCTGATTTTAATCATTTATTTTTAAAGATTTATAGAACTCAAACGGGATACTAGCATGCAGAGTTTCATGTCAGCTTTAACCAAACCGTTAATCAAAAGTGGTTTACAGTTAACGATATTTATCAGAAATATCAAATAGTTGACCTATAACTGAAAGTTTAAATATAACTAAGCATGAACATTTAACAGTGCATCTTAAAATCATAAACATTTTTCATAAATAATGTGTTGCCTCTCTTTATTCTAGCAATGTATTTTGTTAACATACTTTCATAGTCTGCATGACGTTGAAAACCTGTCCTAGATGAGTTACAACCACAACATAAACAGTCAATGACATAACGTTGTGGCTGTCAATATTAACTCGTCAAGCTGTCGTGTGGACTACAAAATAAACATGATATTCCAAGCAAGCAGAATATTCGATTCTACAAAGTAGGAATAGCTAAAGAAATTATTATTTGCTAATATTCGGTCAAAGTTTTTCAGGAGCTTCAACATTTTTAACATGCTAATTATTAGATATTATAGAATCGGTGAATTAGAAGACAGATTAGGGAATATCACCATTTATTGTTAACAGACGATGACAGATCATAGTGACAGATCCATACCATTATAACACATCACCAAAAATACTTGTGGTAATATAAAATGATAGATTTCCATTGATAGGAATACTTTTGATGACAAAGCAAAACGTAACTCTATTATTTTTCGCACTTTTTGTTATAAACTCTTAGACTAAAAAACACATATCACGGATTGACTATAAATGTTAGATGATAAAACACACTTGTTAACGTAAGGCAAAGCATAATGACCTTGTCTTGCCACTACAATGTATGATTTGTTACCCATAAATATGTCATAAATTTCTTATTTTGTGCATATCTTTACACGGTGTCATCTGTCAATTTCACTTGTCATGCCGTGATTGATCTAACTATGGTACAAAATTAAAAGATTTATATAAACTGATTATGTAATAGATATGCTGGCTTCCCATTATTTCATAAAATAATTTCAAAAATCTCCTCATAAATAAATAGATACATGTAGATCTCCAATGTCCAATACGTAATCTTTCAACGTCATTCCAAAAACTCTTCTTTGTACCATACTGACTCGGCTATGCCGAAATGCACACGACTGAACAAGATAAGCTCACAATGAAATTATTTTAGCAGAAATGTTATTCTCAATGTTATTCTACTTTCTTTGCATTTCTACTTCAAGCGTTTAATTAGTAGCTACAATAGACAATCAAACACCAAAACGTCAAAGAAAGACAACAAGATAACCAATAGTTAATAAAATGCTTCGCTGGGGCGCAGCTTGATACGACCGCAGAGGTCGAACCCTGAACAGTTGGGGCAAGTATGGACACAAAATTCAAGCTTGATACAGCTATGACTTTGGATTGTCATTAAATATTTGACACAGCATAGGTTTCTGACACAGGATGAATGTGGTGTAAGAACTGGAAAAAATTTAATTTACCTATTATGGTGGAATATCCATAAACTAAATTGTTTGTTAATTTCAATATATCAAAGAATATGTAGAATTCAATGTTTGATGTAATGTAATAAAGTTGAAATTTGGACCGTTTTTGTTCAATGTGGACCAATTTGGTAACATGTATAAATAATCAAAAATCTAAATACATGGGAGCCCATTTAAATACATCATAAAGGTATTAAAATAGAAAGTGACATCATAGTCATGGCTAAAAATAAACAAAAATCCTTAATCAGCAACATTTAAAGTAATATCTAAAAATAAAATTCCTTTGTAACCATAAAAGCCCATTTAAATACATCATAAAGATATTAAAATAGAAAATGACATCATAGTCATGGCTAAACATAGCAAAAAACCCTTAATCAGCATCATTTAACAGTAATATCTAAAAATGGAAATTACATCATAAAGGTATTAAAATAGAAAATGACATCATAGTCATGGCTAAAAATAAACAAAATCCTTAATCAGCATCAGCAACATTTTATAGTAATATCTAAAAATAAAATTCCTTTGTAACCATAAAAGCCCATTTTAATACATCATAACAGATATTAAAATAGAAAATGACATCATAGTCATGGCTAAACATAGCAAAAACCTTAATCACCATCATTTAACAGTAATATCTAAAAATAAAAATTTCTTTGCAACCATAAAAGTAAAATAGAAAATGACATCATAATCATAGCTAAAAATAAACAAAAATTTTTTTATTGGCAAATTTTAAATGGAGTTTATTATACTAAAACAATAAATTTGCAACCATAAACATGATAAAACCCCATTTAAACACATCATAAAAGTATTAAATAATTCAACTACATCATAAGGCTATAAAAATAGAAAATGACTTCATAGTCAAGGCTAAAGGTAAACAAAAAACCTTCATCAGCAAAATTTTATATTGGCAAATTTCCAATGAAGTTTATTACACTAAAATTGTTGGCAAATTTCCAATGCATTTATTAACAATAAAGTTATTGGCAAATTTCCAATTTACATAATTTAAAAGCAGTGTAGATGAGATATTTA